ACGACTTATAAACTACATGTAAGTCAATCTGAGACGTGTATCATGCCTCCCCTTAGTTTCAAACAACACATCATACGACCTGACACGTACTCGTATATCAAATATGAAAACATATACAATATCCTTATAAATTAATTGTTGTTAAGAACCGTTCAGCTTATTGAAACCCTAATGCTTGTAAGTAATTAAAAGTTGCACATTAAAAATACGCATCTATCTTGATGATAAATGATATATATATTTACGACTGTCCATAGATTACAGAGAGTTGAACAAGGTTTAGGGTTAAAAAGACGGAAATATGGCATCAATACTTTCAAAGATTAGGGTTAAAAAGACGAAAATATGGCAAAGACATTTGAGGTCGTTTTAGACAAATATATTTATTTATAATTTGAAAAAACAATTACAAAAATAAAAAAAAATTAAAATAAAGAAATTACATAACTCACAATTATCCCATCAATTAAGGTAATTTATATATTCGTATTCAGTATTTCATGTCTGAAACTATATTATTTTAAGAAATACATTATAATACTTAAAAATTTTAAAATAAAGTTTTTATTAATTTAATATTCGGTAAAGTTATTGCAAAATATATTATATATTGTGAGTTGGACAATCCAATATTTTAACAGAAATAATCTGTCCACTGTCTCATCCACTTAATAATATTCACAATAAAAGTAATCAACCAACTTTTATTCATTTAATGTAATATTTTTTTATTTTAACAATACGATCCAAATTGAATAATTAATTCTTTTTATAAATAATTATTATTACTTTATGTGATGTCTCACATTAGTTGGAGAGGAGAACAAACCACCATTTATAACGGTGTGAAAACCTTCCCCTAGCAGACTCGTTTTAAAGCTTTGAGGAGAAGCCTGAAAGAGAGTGCAAAGAGGACAATATCTGCTAGCGGTGTATCTGGGTCGTTACAAATGGTATCAGAGCCAGACACCGGACGATGTGTCAGCCTTCTCGTTGTTTCCCAAAGGAGTAGACACGAGGCGGTGTACCAGTAAGGACGCTGGGCTCCGAAGGGGGTGGATAGTGATTTGAGGGGAAGCCTGAAAGATAACCAAAATAAGACAATATCTGGTAGCGGTGGACCAGGTTATTATACTTTAGGTACGAATTTATGTTTAAATTAATTTTAAAATTTATTTATTTATAGATATACATTTAAATTTTGAATATACAGATCTTGAGGGAGGAGTGGGAAAATGTTTTAATCAAATGGCTGAGATTTGTCGAAAGGAGAAAAGATGAAGCGGACGTTCAGGATCAATTGAATTATGGAAGCCCAGCTTTGTAGTGCACGTGTCTATAAAGGCCCTTTGAATTAATTAACTTAATTATCCATTTTTTATTTTCGCTGCTTAATTATTTAATACACTGAAAAACCCTTTTTAATATTATTTGGTAAAGCCTCTGTTTGGCTACGCGTATAAAATAATGCCACATGGGATTTAGTTTATTCAAGGGGTGAATCTCAAGGCCAAATGGTGGAATTTAGATCCCTTAGTATATAAATAAATTCTCACAATCCTTATTATTATTATTATTATTTTAAAAATAAGAGATGGAGTATGATATAATATAATATATTTCATGGATTAATATGAATGTGACACCGTGAATCATTTTATCCCAATTTAAACCAATATAGGTTGGTTTTTGGAAAAAAAAATTACGAGAAAATTGAGAAAATTGTGAGACATTAGATAAATTTTGAGACCTAGATTTAAAGCGGAATAGAAAAATTGAGAATTTATGAGATGTTTTTAAATTTTTATAAATAAAAATTATAGTTTAAGATGTAAACAATCATAGTTTAAGTCGTGTATTTAAAATAATATTGAAAATGAAGGAATCTAGTAAGGTAGACTTGTCATCTCGTATTTATAATTTAAATGGGCACGTTTGGAAGAATCTAGTGGAGAAATTGGTTTGAAATATGGAGGTCTTGAGATTTGAATAATGTTTTTTTTTTTAGCTAAAGTAAATATAAATGAGCAAGCTCGGATCTCAAATGGGTTATCAAATGACTATGTTTTAGTCGTCTAAAAATTTGGAGAAGACAATTAAAATTAGGAGAACCTGACGCGTTTATTAAATGCCGAGAGTTTATTAAACAATTTCGATTGGTATAAGGCTTTTTCGAAAGACTAAAAATAAAATTACGAGAGTTTATGCTCAAAGTTGACAATATCATACTATTGTGGAGAGTTATGGTCTTTCACATGGTATTAGAGTCTTGCCAATAGAATCCTCAGATGTCGAACAAAGAAGTCGTGAGTCTCGAAAGTGTAGTCAGATGTGACTTAAATGTCAAACAAAGAGTGTACTTTATTCGAGGGCTCTAGAGAAGGAGTCGAGTATCGATTAAGAGGAGGTTGTTCTAAAGTTCCAAAGGAGGCCTCAAGGGAGGCTCTATGGAAGGTCGTACAATTGTGTAGGGTCGTAGTTTCTAGTACACTAATCACTGGACATCATCAAGTACGCTAAAAACACATAAGTAGTAAGTCCACCTCAAGATAAATGCTCTCTTATTTTGACTTTTCCATAGTCTTCGAAACAGGAATGAGTTCTTTGTCGTGTGAGAACTCGAGAACCGTCACGATAGAGAGGAGTTTCTCTTTTAATCTCGAAGGAAATAATTAAGCTCTTAAACAAACACGTTGCATAGATTAGGCGAAAAAGTGTTATATTCCAAAAGCAAGAGAACATGGGGCATGCGAGTGTGAGAGGGGAAAAGGCAAAATTCCAAAGGTAAAAAAGAGCATTTCAAAAGGGAGAGAGTCGCTGTAAAGTAAAGTGTGTTTAGGGTTACCCTTAATTGGGGATTTAGTGTTGGGTGAACCCAAGAACAGAGCATCCTAACACACAAACGTTGTTACCAATGTTTTGGGATCCAATTTTAAGGTTTGGATTTGTTTGTTACTTTATAAAAATAAAATAAAATAAAAATGTCTAATTAACGCTCGAGCCATACCAACAAGAGAGTAAAGAACGAATGATCTTCCAATAAAAAAGAGTGATCGAGTCTTGCTCGAGAGAGACATTGAAAAGCTCAGTGTCAATTTTGTCCTCATCTTTCTTTTATACTCAAACATCTTGTCCCTTAAATCGAGGTAATTATGAATTAACTATCTGAATAATTATAAATTTTAATCACTCTTATTTATCTAATTGATGCGGTGATAAAAATTTAAATTTTGTACCGTTTCGTTCAAGATTATAATATTTAATTAGTTTGATTAGGTTTAAATTGACATAAACAACCATTTAAAATTTGTAATATCAACCGTGGTAAGTTAAAAGGGGCAAAATCAAAATTTTAAAACGTGCAAGGATAAACCAATCTAGTCAGAGTTGTTTGGTCAAAAGATACCTTAATTTTTCGTGCTTTTATATATATATATAAACATGTATGATAAAGATAGGGAGTGTAATTTAATGGTAATAAAATAAAGATAAAGGTTAAAGTGTGACATTGTTACCTAACTTTGGAAATCAAACTATAGTCTAAAAATTAATGAATGTTACTAAAATTTGTATTTACTTTTAAATTCAAATGATTTAAGTGCACCCAATGTGAAAAAAAGCAAAAGCCACTGCAAATAATTAAAAAAAATGCGGGAAAATTAAAATAATTGAAGTTTTTGTTATATTATATTCAATCAATTTTAACCTAATGCGAGTTGTATTATTTTAAACGGTTTCTGTATAGATGCAGATAAATTATGTAAAATATCGTAATTAAAAAAAAATAAAAAAAATTATATGGATAACCTTTTAAAAATATATATTATATATATATACTAATTAGTGATTAACGAGATAATCAATTGTTTAATTAAAGTTATATAAATGGATTAATTAGGTGGTAATCCGTATATTAGGGAATGTGTTTATGTTAATTATAATATATATATTTATATACGAGAAAATACCAAATATTTGGACAAAAAGTCAGTATCGGTTTCGTAAATTTAGGCGCGAAAAAGATGGGCCCACCTCCCCAGACAGCAGCTCCTCCTGATTCTGACAGAGTACACGTGTCAGCATGGGACGAAAAAAAACAGCAACCCGGTACGTTTGGCTCCTCTTCGTGTTCTAAATGACAATTCTAACCCTCTTCTACTAATTAAATTACCCCATCGTGCCCCCTGTTTCTCACGTGACGCTTGAGTTGAGACTGGCATTTCAAAATTTATCGCCACGTGTTATTATTTTAATTTAATGCAATTCCTAAATTTGAAAAGGAAAATAAAGGAAATACACTAAATAGTTAATTTACCATTTAAGTTACTATCATTTTCATTTTACAATATTAAGTCTAACACATGGAACCGACGTGAAATTATTCATCCTCGAATGTACAGACATTTTATTTGATTCCAACATCTTCCTCCTTCTCTCGCCACTTTATGACGCGAGTCGTATGGGGAGACTCATAAGTACGGTTTTTAGTGGGATATGGGTAAAAAACGGGATTTGAATTGAAAAGACCTAACAAAATAAACCCTTATCTCGGATTGGAGATGCTAACAATGTGGAATGTAAATCAAAGTCTCGAAAGAGTAGCTTCCACAACTGACTCAATAATCAAAACCTTTATTATTACATGTATCTCAATATTTCAGTTCCTTCTCTGAGATTCCTTGTTTTCCCCTCTCGCTCTAAAAATCACGCTCTCATCCTTCTAAACGCCTTGTAATTGAACTCCAAGTTCCATATCATAAGTAAAGCAAACCCTGATATTTATCGACTCTCGAGTAATAGTTTCACCAAACAACATTCACATATAAATATATACTTGGAAGAATTTTTTTTTTCTTAATACGATTTAAAGAAATTAGAAAGGGGAAAGAAAAAAAAAGAAAAAGAAAAAGTGTGTTGGGTCGGGTCGGGTCGGGTCGGGCCCGGAGGGAAGGAACCGATGGCTTCTCTAACCTGTCTTCTTCTGTGCATCCGAGAGAGAGAGGTTTTGTGGTTGTGATTCCTTATATGTCCATTCCCCATCTTCCTTCTTTAACCTAAAAAGGAACGCCCTTTTCATCCCCTTCATAGCCTCCTTCTCTATTCCGCCAGTCTTTTCAGGCCCCATCTTCCACAGCTCAGCTCCACGCTAAACGACCATACACATTACACTCCACAAGAACAAGCCCCTCTGCTACCCAATACCCTTTTTGTTCTTATTCCCTTCAAAATCCAACCGCAATCCATAATCGCCCGCTCCTGCCTTCTGCCCTCTGTTTTTCGCAGTCCAAAACAGAGAAAAGGGGTTTCTGATGGCGCCTTATTATATTAGAACTCATCGGAATCGGAGCCACCGCCGCGGTGCCTCCGATGGGTTGCCGTTTATCAGCGATGAATGCTTGATTGAAATGGTTAAGAAGGAAACCCATCACTTGCCTCTTGATGGGTACCTCGGGAAGTTCCACAACGGCGACTTGGATGTCCGAGCAAGAACAGAGGCCGTCGATTGGATTAAAAAGGTGAGTATTGGTCTTGATTCGATGATTTTCGAAGTTTATTTCTTCTGTTCTTCATTGATCAAAGCTTAATATCCAAACCCATTTCTTCATTTTTCTTGATCAACAGGTGAGTACTCATTTCAGATTTGGACCTCTCTGTATATACTTAGCCGTAAACTACTTGGATCGCTTCCTTTCTGCTTATGATCTACCCGTAAGGACGACGATCGTCTTCGGTTAATTCATCGTATCGATACGATTCGATGTCTAATTGTTCTTGTGCCATTTGCAGAAAGGCAAAGCTTGGACAATGCAGCTGCTTGCTGTGGCATGTATGTCCCTTGCAGCTAAATTGGAGGAGACAGAAGTCCCTCTCTCGTTGGATTTACAGGTTCGACGATTGTTTCGATACTCGTTTGATCGAAAACGATTCACATTTCGCTAATAACGATCGGATTCGATCACAGGTGGGTGGATCGAAGTTTGTGTTTGAAGCAAGAACCATTGAAAGAATGGAGCTTTTAGTGTTGACAACATTGGGATGGAGAATGCAAGCAGTTACACCTTTCTCATTTATCGATCATTACCTCCGAAAGATCCACGACGACGAATTATCTCTCGAAATGTCAATCGGGCAATCCAGTCATCTACTCTTGAACATAATACATGGTGCTATTTCGTTCTTGGACGTAATCGTTGTTGTGTCGATGAGTTTCGAAATGGTTTTGATCGATCTTTCTTATAGGTATCGAGTTCTTGGAATTCAAACCGTCGGAGATTGCAGCAGCTGTGGCGATATCGGTCGCGGGGGAAGCTCAATCAGTGGACCCTGATAGAGCAATTCATCTTCTAATTCAGCAGCTCCAAATGGTAATAATATAGAAAAGAAGTTGATTGTTTGTGGAACATGATCATAATCTGATGCATACATTTATGTGCAGGAAAGAGTTCTTAAGTGTCTTAAGTTAATCGATGACACGTTCGTCTGCCGGGGTGGGTCGGGGAAGGGCTCGAGTGCGTCGATGTCGTCGGAGCGACGGAGCCCGAGCGGGGTGTTGGAGGTGACATGCTTGAGCTATACAAGCAATGATACAGCAGTTGGGTCATGTGCTAACTCAGATGCTACAAAGAGGAGGAGATTGAACAGACCCTGTGAAGTAAATTTTTGATGTGGTAATTTTAAAATAACAGCGGTAATTTTAAAGGAAGAGGAGGAGGAAGTGGGAAGTGTTTGATTTTGAGATACACTTTCTTCTACGTGGCTAATTTGTATTGGTTGAGACCAAAAAAAGGAAAAACAAAGAAATTAAAAAAAAAGAAAGTGAAATTGTCTATTTTTTTTTAAATATAAATTATGGAATTGTTTAATACATATTTTGTTGAGTCATTTAAATAGTGTTTTGTAAACGCACTATGGGCAGAGAGTTTACAGCGCTTTGCGTTGACTATTGGTCTAACTATGACTCGGTTTTGTTCTTTAGCTTATTTGGTAAAACCCCATCCCAATAATAACAGTAATTAAAATTTAAATTTTAAATTTTAAAAAATGTCTAGGATTTTTTTTTTTTTTTTAAGCCATGAATTGGGTGTCAAAAACTCTCCCAATAGACTAGGATGATGAAAGTCCCACATCTGCTAATTTAGAGAATGATCATGAGTTTATAAATAGGCATTTTAGGGAAGTTCAAAGTAAATCCATGAGATCTTATGCTGAAAGTGGAAAATATCATATCATTGTGGAGAGTTGTGTTTAAACACGTGGTATTAGAGTTATGCCCTAAACTTAGTCGTGCCAATAGATTGGTAATAAAGGACTCCAAAAAGAAAAAGGATTCAAGCCTCCGACTAAGACTCCAAAGAAGAGTCGAGGGGAGGTGTTGGATGGTGAAAGTCTCATCGGTTAATTCAGGGAATGATCATGGGAACACTCTCTCCATTGGTATGAGGTCTCTTGGGAAAGCCCAAAGCAAAGCCATGGTCGTGTTCGTCTAACAATAGACAAATCGTGAGGTTAGCGACGATACGGGTGAAAGTGAACAATATCGGTAGGCTTGAGCTGATTGTTTAATAAATGAGGCCCGTCACACTTTCTCGCATTTCAATTTAGAGAGAGAATAATGATGTCATCTTTTTGTATGGCAATATAGACAATTTTACTGAGTTGGTGATTCACTGTCATTTTATGTTTATCTTACCCACTTTTACCCCGATATTGGGTACTAATATAACATGGGCTTATGTAGGCCCACATAAAATGGGCTGGGTTTTACTCTTGAAGTTGGCCCATATGGATGAATGGGCCGTTGGGCTAAACCAATGAAGATATGATAGCCCAACCGACGAATTGTTGTGTTTTCTTTAATAATATTAAAAAAAAAAATGGAGAAGAAGAAAAGGCAGAAACAGAAAGTACGGCCGTAACTTCCAGTGCCGGCTAGCTAGTCTTCCGCGATGAGCGCTGGTACGTGGTCCCCACCTAATTTCTTTTGATTTAATTTAATTATATAAATTCCCCCCTCGCGTGCACTCTCTCCGCATTAAATTATAGTTTGACCAAAAAATCCTTCCCTATGGAAGTCCGAGCCTAAGCGTGCTGCAATGCATGCGCCTACCACTCCCACTCCCACTCCCTGCTACTAGATCCCAACCCCGATTCCCTCACCCAACTGTTTCCTCAACACTCCCCCTTCCCCAATCCTCAACACCCAACTGTCCACCCCTCACTATGATTAAACACAAAACTTACCTATTCAATGTAAAAAACATCAAATTTACTGTTCAACCCTGGGTGCCGTTAATGGGTTTCAAGAGAGAGAGAGAGAGAGAGAGAGAAATGGCGTCTGAGATAAGACGGCATGTCCATCAAAAAGTCGCCACCCGCGTGAGTGACTTTTCAATTTCTTTTTTAATTAATTAATTAATTTATTTTTAATTTTCTAAAATTATTGAGTGGACACTGTTGTGAAGATTTGTGGTCGGAAACACCAAGATTTTCTTCCCACTTCTTTATTATTTTCCTTTCTAACCAGACTAATTTATTAAATTAATTATTTATTTTCAAATTACTCCCTTGCCCTTCCACTTCTTCCTTTTCTTATTTATTTTATTTTCCACGTGTATTATTATTTCTCCCATAAAAACAAATTAATATTTATTTTCTCTTTTAATTGGTGAAATTCCATGATATAATAACCCATTATTGCATTATTGATCCAGTTGAAAATTACAAATATCTTTTAATAAACTCGTGCTTTTAACTTTGAATACAATCGATAGTCAACATATTTGACTTTTTTAATATCTAATTCTTTACGTAGAATGATCGATAATTAATGTATGTATGATTATTATTTATTCGACATTTTCTTATTTAAATTTAATGGGCCGATGATATTTAGTATCTAATAGGTAGGTAAAAGGTCAATTATTAATTAACAGCTGAATGATTTAAAATAAATAATAATAATAATAATAAAAGAGATGTTTCAAATTAGTAGGACGATGATCTCACAATTAAAAGCCTTAATTCCACCGTTAATTATAGTGTTGGTGGCCCCACATCTTGCTTTATTTATTTATTTATTTTTCCAATCCCCACCCATATCATATTCACATCCCAACTTCACCCACCAATGTACGGATGGGTTTGCACGCGCTCATAATTTTTACGTGGCTTTGTTGCGTTTTACTTTTACCCTTTTTATTATTATTAAATTTATAAAATTTATAAAAAAAAAATTTACTTGTTTATTTTACTTTTTTTACCTGATAATTTGTTACAGGTGGATAATGCTGACGTGTGAAAGCTTTTTTTTTTTTTTTCTTGGGTGGACAAAAAAGTTATTATATTATTATTATTTTTTGGCTTTATTAATGCTGGTTTTCCCTAATTTAATAACCTGCTTTTCTTTTCCTTTTACTTTCAAAAACCTCACGCACTTCGATTCATTATCGCTAATGCTCCTTTCTTTCACACTCTTTATTATCAATTATTACTTTCTTTTTCATTTTCTTACTCCCTCTCAAGTATTTTCCCTTTTTCTAAAAAACAAAAAAACCCAATTTTTAATTATTATATATACTTTACTAATTTTGTGATAAATATTTTAATATTAAATTTTGCGCGTGTATTACCTACCCATCACGTGATTGATTGGTAACATTAAGGTGACTCGTGTACCTAATTATCAGACGATGGCAGCTTTTCATGAAAATACTCGTGTTGTTAGGATCGATACCAGTTGTTAGCTCTGATATTATATTAGACGAACACGACTCTCCACAATGGTATGATATTGTCCACTTTGATCATAAGCTCTCATGACTTTGCTTTGGGTTTCCCTAAAAGGGCTCGTTTCAATGGAGAGAGTATTCTTTGTTTATAAACCCACGATCATTCCCTGAATTAGCTGTTGTGGGACTTTCATTATCCAACACCTCCCCTTAATCGAGCGTAATCGAGGCTCGACTCCTTGGGAGTCTTTTTGTTCGACATTTGAGGATTTACCAATCTATTGACACGACTAAGTTTAGGGCATGACATTGATACCATGTTGTTAGGATCGATACCAGTTGTTAGCTCTAATACGATGTTAGACGAACACGACTCTCCACAATGATATGATATTGTCCACTTTGAGCATAACCTCTCATGGCTTTACTTTGGGCTTCCCCAAAAGTCCTCCTTCCATCTGAGAGAGTATTCTTTGTTTATAAAGCACGATCATTCCCTAAATTAGCCGATGTGAGACTTTCATCATCCAACAACTCGAACTATAGATATCAATTTGTAGTGGAAGTTGATATAACAATACTCGTAACCGAGTTCCTCAGTGATCTAGCTCGATACAATTTTTTTTTTTTAATTAATGAATAAAAACTGTGGAGTGGAACTGTTGAGGGTTGACTTTAGAATTAAGTGGCATTGGTTAATGGAATTATATTAAGGTTTTTAGATTTATTTATTTTATGGTTATTATTTATTATTATTTTTTGGTGTTTTCAGTCCGAATATCTCGGGTCGGCATGATTAAGACCGTGCTTCCATCTAAACCTAATGTCAAATGCCTAATAATTATGTTTGAAAATTAATTAAAAAGTAATCCATTCTTACCCTCCTTAACTTTACTGTTTTAATTTAAAATTCTAATAAAATGTCAATATGTAAAATTTATTTATTTATATTCAGTTTTAATATATAATTCTAAATTAAATAAATTTATAACAAACACAACCCAACATTTTTATTTATTTAAATCATATTTTTTTTTAATTTTTATAGAAATAGAAAAAAAAAGTAAAATTAAATTAAATTGATGAGATTATGGCATAGCGACTGTCATAGTTCGCATATTACCTGGAAAATCATGAGCATGCCATCCGCACGTGTTTGATGATGGAAATTATTTTATTTTATTTATTTATTTATTCCTTTTTGGAGCTCAAATCAACGAAACTTATTCGTGCTATCTCGAGCCCACGGAACTAATTTCGAAAATGATGTCTTCCAAATAAAGCAAAAGAAAAGCTTTCAAATCATATAACACTTGTGAAGGAAGTTTATTATTACTTAAAAATAATTTCAATTATTTATTTATTTATAATTTTAATTCCCTCTTTGTTTCTTTTTCTTTTATTTTTTTTATTTTTATTTTTTAAAATAAATAAAAAGAAAAAAGAAAAAAGCTTTGGAAGCGTGAATGTTGTTGTTGGAGAATCCACAACCAAATTGGCTCCACGGCCGTATGTCCCACGCGCCCCACCATACCTAAGCCAACTTTTTTTTTTAATTAAAAAAACACCAACCTGCTTACGTGTCACACGTTTCCACTTCCTTTTCTTTTTTAATTACTTATTGACTTTATAATTAAACATTAAATTATAGTTTTAATCATATAATTGAAATAATATTATTTTATAAATTCAAAAATTATGCCGACAATTTTCTAATATAAAATTGTTTACGTAATTTTATCCAACTATAAAAAAAAAAAGATAATAATAATAATTTACAAGAATATGTCTAAAAATATAATAAAGTCTTTAAACATTATTATATTGTTAAAAATTATTGTAGGTCCCGTATTGATTATTAATTTATTTCATATTCATACAAAACAATTTACATTAATGCCAAGAGCGGCATTATATTATACATTATGATATTGCAAATGTAACGCATAGTAATCCGATCTTATTTTAAAATTGAAAATGCTGCTTTCACAGCATGGCTTCTCATTCCACGTTATAATGGAATTTTATTATTAATTTATCCCTTTTTTTTA